ATATATATATATCTCCCCTGAAGTCTTCTTAAAACTAAACAATAGTTTGGCTTAATTAGTAAAGAGAGTCTGCCTTGAGCATTGTGCTCCTTTAAGAATTATCTATATGGTGTCATATTGACAACGGCAACTCGAAAGATTAGATAGGAAACTTAGGTGGCAGTGAATTTATGTTAGTGGGGGAGGAACAACTCAGAAAAGGAGGATGCGAATGGTTGCACAACTAAATGTAATCAGTGTCACTGAATTGTACATATAGAAATTATTGAATTAGTGTATGTTCTGCTGTGTATATTCTCAACAACAAATCATAATATTAAAAAATTATGATAAATTTAATGCATTATTAAGATAACTTCCATTTTAGTAGTAACAAATCTGCCTGCAATACATTATCTTTAGGCTGGCTGTGTTAATTGCTTCTGCCAATGCACACCCATGCCATTCCCCAACAAGCAGTATAAAGTATTCCTTTTCTAGAATCCGGGTTGGTCTCATTAATATGATTGGCCAATAAATGTGGCAGAAGTGACAATCTGGGACTGCCATGATCTTACTCTTGGAACTCTCATCCCTGGAACACCCATCCTGTTGCAAATCAACACTTACGTATAAAATTTGACTACACTGAGACACAAAAATACAATCACCCAAATAAGCCCTTCCCAAACTCATGACCCACAAAACTGTGAGCAAAATGAAGTGATTCTTTTAAATTACTGAGCTCTGGGGTATTTTCTTACACAGTAATGTATAACAGAAATAATTTGATAACCAGAGTGGTTGGTTTCTCTAACAGGAATCTAAAATATGTGGCGTTAATTTGGGAACTGAATGGTGAGTGGAAGCTGGAAAACTACTGAAGATTGTTAGTATATATTGACATTGTGTTGAGAAGACTGTTGATAAGGTCTTCGAGGACAGTTAAAAACATGTAATTAGAAGTTAGAGAAAGGGGACATTTAGTATGAAGCGGTAGATTGTTTGGCATCACTGTTGCCTGTAGTAATGTAGAAAACAGAGCTCATGTTTCTGGCTGGCCAGATTTCTTGGTAGATTACAAAAAAGTACCAACTGACTTGTCTAAGTTATCCACAATAAAATATAAGACAGTGATAATTAATGAAGGAATAGTTCAATTTTCAGGTAGAATATAGAACAAGTATAAAAGAGCTACGATTTGTTTGTTTAAAAATGAAACTGATTCTCATTTCTTGTCTTTCTCAGCAAAAGGGTCTTAAATTAAGAAATGGCCAAATGCCAAATTAAAATGCCAAAGATAAAGATAAGGCAAGCATATGATTGTAAACTCCTGTGTTAAAACATCAGAAGAAACTTAAGGTGATACCTCTCATCTAGACAAAAGGCCTTCTCAGTAATTTATGGGAATGCCACACACATAAAAACTCTCAAACAGTAACACTATTAAGAATCATAAATAGGATATACCATAGCAGCATCACCAGGGCCCATTATACATAAAGGTTTCTCTATAGCTTATCAAAAGCCACAGAGATTTGTGGGTGTGGCCTTTGTCTAATGGGTCCATTTTAAATATAACACACAAGAAAGCCAAACCTTTTTAAAGAAATTATATCAACTTGGACTGAAGATGATCAAGACAATGCGTAATGTTCTTTTGACCCTCAATTAATTACAGGCAGGAAGCAGGCCAATAAAGCTACTCAGCTTTGAAAAGAGTTATTCCTTACGGAAAAGGAAGTGTAAATCAAAGAGTAGAACCAAGAAGCCAGAAGCCAAAACTTCTTGGATCTGTGGGTTTAATTAAGATAAACCTCCAACAACAAAAAACAAACAACAAAGAAACTATAGTTCCAGATGGCTTCACAGGTGAATTCCCTCAAATATTTTAAGGGAGAAATAACACTTTAAAATCAGTGTGGGATAAACTGTATCAGCTCATTTTATGAGAATAACATAACGCTTATACCAAAGCTAGACAAGGAAATTAAAAATTTTAAAAAAAGAAAATTTCTGAGCTATATCCTTCAGGAATATAGATGCAAAAGTCCTTAATAAAATATTATATAATTACTATATTATTATTATATATATGTATACATAATTAAATAGATATTAAAAGGTTATCATCCAGACCAATTAATTCTAGGTATGTAAGACTTTTAATATTTGAATGTCAATCACTGCAATTCACCAAATCAATAAAATATTATTGTCTCATTTTATTCAGAAAAATCATTTGACAAAATTTAATATCATTCATGAGACTAAAAAAAAATCGGCAAACTACTAACAGAAGAACTTCAATCTGATAAAGAACATCAATAATAAAAATAACTTGAAGCTAATATGATATGTTATGATGAAATATAAAATCTGTTCCCACCACATCTATTCAACATTTTACAGTAGGGTCTAGCCAGTTCAGTAAGGAAAGAACAAGAAATAAAGAGCATAAAGATTAAAAAGGATGAACTAAAGCTGTCTTTATGTGCATATTATTAGATAGAAAATCATAAGGAATCTATAAAATACACTTCTAGAAATATTATCTTTTGAAACTTCAGAGGAAACATACAAAAATCAGTTGTATTGCTATTATAATAGCAATGGTGAAAGGAAGTCAACGTGAAATAAATATCATTGACAATACTATAAAAATACAAAATATTAAGAATAAATTTAACAAAAGATGAAAAGAAATGTGAAATATCCAAATAAATGGAGAAATATATCCTGTCTATTTATTGGAACACTTAATATTGTTAAGATGTCAATTCTCACCAAATTAAATCTAAAAAAAATACCAATTATAAAAGCATGCAATTTTAAAAGAAATGACTTGATTCTAAAATATACATAGAAGTACCTAGAATAGTCAAAAACAATCCTGAAAAAAGAACCAAGGAGAACTTACTCTACTTGCCTTCAAGATTTAGTATATAGTTACATTAATCAAGATAATGTAGCATTGGTAAAGGATTGTTTTTAACGTCCTCCCATTCACCTCATTGGTGAATAGGGGAGACTCTTGCCTTAGGGTTATGGAGATGGCTGAATACATGCAAATGACGCTGCAAAAAGTGATTAACAACAGTTTATTAGTGACAGATACTAACTCTCTGCTGAAGGAGGAACCACATGCCAAGCAGTCACATGGGCGTTGCACTCAGGTGCAAAGTGAAATAATAACCAGGGCTGTGAGAGGCAGGCTTTGTAGTATCAAGAGGGTGGGGTGCCCCTTTATTCCTGCATGAGGATGTGACTGGCTTGTTTGAATAACCGTGCAGGGTAACAGGGAACTGAAACTCACTACTCAGGAGTAAGCAGGAACCGCACCTGGTTGTTTGGCTAGGGGACCTTACACATGGGAACAAAATGAGGAGGAGAAGTTGCAATTAGGTCATTCAGGGGCCTTTTGATTTTACCAGATGTCAAATCCAAACCAAACCAAACCTGTTGCCATCGAGTAGATTCCAAATCATAGCGACCCTACAGGACAGTAGAACTGCCCCATAGGTTTTCCAAGGAGCAGTGGGTGGACTCAAACTGCTGACCTTTTGGTTAGCAGCCGAGCTCTTAAGCACTGAGTCAACCAGAGCTCCACCAAATGTCAAGGCAGCATATGATATTGAGCCCTAATTTTAAGCTTTACACTGTAAGGATAGATACACAAATAGATCAATGGATTTGAATAGTGAGTTTAGCAATATACCCACTAATATATGGTTAATTGACTTTTTAGTAAAAGTACAGAGCTAGTTCAATGAGGGAAGGAAGGTCCATTCAAAACCTTGTACTCAACTGGATATTCACATAGGACCAACTGAACCTCCAAATCCCAACATGCTTAACACTTAATATGACATTGATCATAAATCTAAATGTAGAAGCTAAAACTATAAATCTAGAAGGAAATAATAGGGAAATTTCTTCATGACCTTGGGATAATAAGCAGGCTAGGTAAGACGTGAACATACCTATCAATGCAATAAAAGAAAAGATAATGTGGACTTAACTAAAATTTTTATGATATGTACCATAATCATTAACTAAAAATGGAGTATTAGAAAAAAAATTCAATCTTTAATTTTTTCTCATCTATATTATTAGACAGTCTTGAAAAGAGACTACTGGAAACAAAGTCTTCAGTAAAAAAGCAGGGGATACAAATACTATGTAGGAGTTAAAAAAGGCTCTCTGTACTTACTCTGTAAACTGACATACTTCATATAAAAACATGTTAATTATAAATTATAAAATAGTTTAAATATTTTATTTTAATGTTGTGTGCTGGGGAGTTGATGCCAACTCGTAGTGACCCTATATGACACAGTAGAACTGCCCCATGGGGTTTTCTAGGCTGTAATCTTTAGGGGAGCAGATCTGCATGTCTTTTCTCCTGCAGAGCCAGCTGGGTAGATAACCACCGACCGCTAGCAGCCCAGCGCTTAACCAACCAATTGTGCCACCAGGGCTCCTTCCTATACTATATTCCTGGTTATGGCAGCTCCGGGTTAAGGAGCGGGCTATATTTGGCCGGCTGCCTGGCAGTGCTAGGCTTAATGAGGCACCAAATTCGATATGCGTTAAAAAATTAATTTGACTAAAATATTGTGAAAACAAACTAAATATCAAGTAAACAAGTTGATACTGATCTTTCCAGAGTATGTGTGCTGTAGAAAATACTCACATATTTAAGAAATGATTACTGTTTTAATCTCGCACAATTAGTTCACTGCTGTGTTAGGACGACTCCAAACATTTTATGAGGCGTGCATCACAGTGAGAGCCTTGAGTGTAATTTGGACAGAATAGACTGCAGCACCCATGGGCCTGTTGCTGCGCCTGCGCCAGAGATGGCGGAAGTTACTGGGCAGCTTTATTTAAGAAAGGCCGTGTATATTTTTATTACATTATTTTCTCAATTTGTAAATTCGAAATTTGAAATAAAGTAAATGAATATGTTTACTTTTTTTCGAGTGCTGTAATGCTGTAAGGAGTCTTGGTGGCGCAGTGGTTAAGTGCTCGACTACTAAGCAAAAGGTCACTGGTTCTAACTTACCAGGTGCTCTGCCGAAGAAAGACGTGGCAATCTGCTTCCTTAAAGATATACAGCCCTGGAAACCCTGTGGGGGCAGTTCTACTCTGTCCTGTAGGAGTCGCTATAAGTCAGAATAAACTGGATGACAGTGGGTTCGGCTTTTTTGGTTGTTACATTAAAGGGCACCACCAGGTCCTTTGTCATGAAAATAAAATTTAACTCTGACCTGACCGTGGGTGATTGCTTTCAAATCTCTGGCGTTTTGTTTCCTAGACAGGCGCTACATTGAGTATGATTACCGTGCTAAACCTACGAAATGGCCATTTTACTTGCTTGTTCCCTTTTTCATTATTCTCTGTGTACTGATTGGTGTACTGGTAAAAGTTAATGTCCAAAGAAAAAAATGGAGATCAGAGGACTATACAAGCGATGAGTATATTGATTTTATATTTCCTATTTATTACGTTTACAGTTTATTGGCATACATAGTACCTGCTTAATAAATAACATGTATGTAACTAGTAATAATTCAGATTTCATTTTTCTCTTTATATGGAAATTTAGTATTTAATGATTAATAAATAATGAATAGAATTTTTTAAAGGCCAGCAATTTAAATCTTACAACAACTAGGACTCTCTTGGGGTAACATTAAGTGGAACTGGTTTTAATTGAAGTTTATCTGTCTCCTTTTATTACTTGGAGCCCTGGTGGAGCAGCAGTTAAGAATTTGGCTGTTAACCAAAAGGTCGGTCGTTCAAATCCACCAGGTGCTCCTTGGAAACCCTATGGAGCAGTCCTACTCTGTCCTACAGGGTCGCTATGAGTCAGAATGCACTCAACGGCAACAGGTTGTTTTTTTTTTTTAAATTACTTAGCATTAGTTACCAAATATGTATTAATCTTTATTATTTTACTTTTTAATATTTATAGATTGCAAAGAATTTGTACATATTATTTTATTAAAGGTCACAGGAAAATCCAGGAGAGCAGTTTAACCTTTTTTACAGATAAATACTTTGAGACGTAGGTATCAGAGGTGGAATATGCTAAAAATCAATATATAAAACTGAAAAATCTAGGCTATAGCCATGTGTTATATATAGAATATGTATAACAAATAAATTTTTTAAAAAAAATGGAAATATCTGAAATTATGTTTCAAGAATAAAAACAAATATTAAAATGGTTTACTGCTCTTCATGGGAATTTCTATAAAATAATTTCTGCCTTTGAGTTTTGTTCTGTGTCCTCCATTTTGCTAAAAATTAATTGAGCTTCATTAAAATGCTTAGTTAAATTAATAAGAATATGAATGAAATGGTATATATTTCATAGAAACTCTGAAAAGTTTACATGAACTTGCCTAAATCATATGTAACATGTAAAATAGTTAACATACTGCAGTTAACACTGAAATATATTCAGGGAACTTTGGATATACTTTATTTTGGTTAAACTGATACCAGATATTTTTCTGGAGGGAAGGAATAGCTAATAAAATTAATAATAAAAAAGAATTGGAAAGAAGATAGATGGCAAAAATGTTGAAAGATATTTAATTAATAATGTTATGAACGTGAACATGGGCTCAGTTTATTTTCCAGTAAACTTATGTTACCGTACTTTTTCTCATATCTGGGGTTACAAAGGAGGTGGATTGTTAATCTTGATTACCAGGTGAGAGGTGTTCTCAGTGGTAGAATATTCTTAAGTAGTGGCTGCTCCCTAATGTTGGGTAAGAATTCAATATGGTTGCAATATCCATAGACAGTACAGAGTTTTGTAGAACAATATTTAAGAAAATATAATTTTAATTGATTATTTTAATTTTTAAATATATAGGCAAATTGAAAGTGAGAGTGAACCCAAAGAGACTGCAGAGAGTCCATGATGTCAAAGTGAGTGTCAAATAATTTCAGGGAGAGGCAGAGGAAGAGGGAGAGAATGAGAATTTAATGTATTAGAGAAATATAAATAATATATATTAATGATTGTCATATAGCTTACCTGTCATAACAAAAAAATAAATTGGAGAATATATTTCAATATTGTAAATTTTATCATAGACATTGTAAAACTATAAATAACATTTCAGTTTTCATATGCTAAGTTTTTAGAATGTCTTGCAGTATCTTTTAATTTTTTTTCTAATAGTTTAAGCCTTTACTATTTGTGTATTCAAAATGTCTGTTAAAAAATAAATTACGTAATAGTTTATTTCACAATAATTTTCTGACCTTCATGCTATTTGTTGATTTAACCATAATTTAACTTGATTCGTCATACAGGTGACTTTCTCCCCTCTATTCATTCTCCCAGTGGTACTATCTGCAATGGACAGAAAAACTGGAAAAAAATAAAACCACCTGCATTGCCTGGAGTTCAGAAACTGCACATTGCGTTTTTAATCTAAAAAGAAAACAAAAAATATATATATCCAAATATAAAAAGATAATTTATTTGTAAGAAATGCATGTTTACGAGTTTTTATGTTACATATTCTTGTTTTTGAACTTTTCACCCACTAATTCTGTTGAGATAAGAAAAGATTATAATACAACAATAAATATAGAGCCATGATTATAAAGGCCATTGTTATATTTTCAGTTGCATTACTATCTTGTTATGTTATAATCTGATGGTCTGTAATCAATCAAACAACAAAGATCCTAAGACTTGGAAAAAATTCTCAAATACATGCTGCTTACAAAAGTCACATTTTAAAGTATGTACAGGTTAAAAGTAAAAGATGAAAAAATATTACCATGGGAACTTTATACCAAAGAAAGCTGATATAGATTTGCTAATATACAATGTAGACTTTAACACGAAAAGCATTAGTAGAGATAAAGAAGAATATATAATAATGCAAAAGGCCAATATAAGAGGGAGTTATATTAATATGAAATTATTACATCTTTATGACATTTTAAATATAGCTTCAACATCTATGAAGCACAAATTGACAGTACAAAAAAGAGAAATTAAAAAAATAATCAAAGTGAGAGATTTGAACGTGTTTAACTAACATGGCCTACTTAATATACAGAACAGTGTATCCAACAATTGCAAAATAGGCATTTTTAAGTACATATGAAAGATTTACTGATATATATCATATGTTTGGATATAAAGCAAGTCTCAACCACTTTCTCATGACTGAGATATTTCAGATTATGTTCTCTGACTAGAGTTAAGACAAATGTAATAAATATTTTTAAAAAACAAATAAGCAATATATTTCTAAATAATCATGGGTCAAAAAAAATTCAGTGGAAATTAAAATATTCTTTGAACTATTTACCATAAAAATGTTACAGAAAAGAATATGTGAAGCAGCTAGGCCTTGCATAAAGGGATTCAAGCCATCGGAAGATGATAAGGGAAAATTAAAAACTAGCATATTAAATCAAAAGAAAGGAATTGAAAGCAGGAAATAATATTTAACAAGTAAAAAAAATAATAAAAACAAAGAAACCTACAATATTGAGAACAAACAGGCCTAAGCTAGTTCTGTGAAAAATTAATAAAATCAATAAACCTCTCAGAAAATACTCAGTGAAAAGAAAAATTTTGAAGGTACAAGTTAGCAGTATCAAGAATGAAGAAGCACATACAGTCACTAAAAATAAAAAGAAATTTAAATATTTAGATAAAATAGAAACATTTCTATAAAAAGCTTCCCAAAACTAACCCAAGGAGAATTTGAATATTTGCATAGAACTATAGATAATAAAGCAGTCATAATCATAAATAAAAAGTATATCAAGAAGAAAATTCTAGGTCAAGATGACTTCATCATTTCAAATCTAGCAAACACTTAAGGAAGATATCTTTAATTTGACGTGGTAATTCCTTTTCACGAGGCAAGCATTGATAATTAAACCATGGCGAGGAAATAGAAAGAAGGAAAAATTAAAGACAAATCTTAAGAAAATAGATTTAAACTTCTATTATTAACAAACTGAGATAGATATATAGATGGTAGATAGGTAGATAATCTCATGAATATGAACAAGGTTTTTTTTTTTTCCCAAGAATGCAAAGTTAGTTCAATAATGAGAAATCAATCAACTTAATTCACCACATTAACAACATAAAAGACACAACAAATATATAATTTTCTAAAGAGATGCAGGAAAACCATTTGATTAAATTCAACACAGTTCTCTGATTTGTGCGTCCAAAATTTCTGTTAAAATACAAATTACAGACAAATACTGTATCTCTCTTATATGAAATAAGCAAAAATATAGAAACCAAAGATTATTAGTGGTTACCAGAGGTGGGAGGGAGGGGCAAAGGGGGAGCTTTTGCTTAGGGAGCTTTGAGTTTCTGTTAATGGTGGTAGAATAATTTGGAAAAGGATAGCCATAAAGATTGTACAACATAAAGAATGTAATCAGTGTCACTGAACTATACATGTGGAAATTGTTGAATTGGTAAAGGTTGTGTATATTTTCACTACAATCTAAAAAATATTAAAAATAAATTACATGATAAAAGTCTACTTCACACTAATTGTATGACCCTCACACCCTTGACACACACATAGATTGTTGAAGAAATAGAATTAGATTTGAACTTTTTTGATCTGATTAAAGGAATCAACAAAACATGTATAATATTTAACATAATTATTTTGGTCTTCCCTTCTAATATTGTGAACAAGTTAAAGATACTCACTATTACCATTTCTAAATATTTTTGTGGGAATCCTAGTTAGTAACATATGGCCAAGGAAAGAAAGAAAAAGTAAATTGAAAATAAATCCTTATTCCAAGATAATTTTATTATAGACATCGAAAATGGAAGGAATCTTCAGATAAAATATTGCAATTACCACGTGAATTTGGAAAAGTCACTGGATTTGTGGTCAATATACAAATAAATATTTCATTTATATATAAAAGAAAACATAAGCTAGAATGTTTATTATTTACATTAGCACCAAATACATCAAATACTCAGGAATAAACATTTAAAAAAAAAGCTGTTACCTTTACAGAAAACTACAAATTACCATTAAGAGAAATTAAAGATGACCTAAATAAATGGAGATATGAACTATGTTCATGGATTGAAGCAGTCAATATTGTTCTAAATCTCACATCTTTCCAAATTTTATTTTATATATTCTGAAATTCTAAAATGTTATAAAGACTTTAAACGTATTATCTTCCTGGTAGAAGTACCCTTTATTATTAAATGTCTCAATTTCCTTTTTTTACTGAATTTTGGTTTAAAGATGAAGTTTTCTCGTATTAGCTGAGCTTCACCAAATTTCTCACAGTTACAGTTTCCATGCTATATTTTTTTTCATTCTTTTACTTTCAGACTTGCTGTGTTGTAATATTCAAAATGTAAATATTCTTAGTTGTTTTCGTTTAAAACTCAACGTGATAATCTTAGCATTTTATACAATATTATGTTTACCTGCATGTAACGCACTTACTGACAATATTTACCCTTTCCATTGCTCTTCACAATATTCATGTTTCCCTGAGGGATAATTTTCCTTTTAACTGAAGAACTCACTTGACTCTTTTAGTAATTTTTTTTTTTTTTTTGGTAAAAAGAATTATCTATTTTTATTTGTCTAAAAATATCTTTGTTTCGCCTACATTTTTGAAAAATATTTTAATGGAATTTGGCATTTTGGTGGTGCAGTGGTTAAGAGTTCGGCTGCTAACCAAAGGGTCAGCAGTTCGAATCCACCAGCCACTCCTTGGAAACCCTATAAGACAGTTCTACTCTGTCCTGTAGGGTCGCTGTGGGTTGGAATCGACTCGAAGGCAATAGGTTTGGTTTTTTTTATTTGTTTGTTTTGGCATTTGTCTTAGTCATCTAGTACTGTTATAACAGAAATACAACAAGTGGATGGCTTTAACAAAAAGAATTGTATTCTCTTACAGTGTGAGAGGCTAGAAGTCCGAATTCAGGGTGCCAGCTCCAGAGGAAGGCTTTATCTCTCTGTCGACTCTGGGGGAAGGTCTTCATCATCAATCTTCTCCCGTCAAGGATCTTCTCAGTGCAGGGACCCTGAGTCCAAAGGACACGCTATTCTTCTGGCTCTTGTTTCTTGGTGGCATGAAGTCCTCATGTCTCTCTGCTCACTTCTCTCTTTTATATCTCCAAAGAGATTGACCTAAAACACAACCTAATCTTGTAGATTAAGTCCTCATTAACATACTTTCTGATAATCCCACCTCATTAACATCATAGAGGTAGGATTTACAACACTTAGGAAAATCACATCAGTTGACAAAATGGTGGACAATCACATAATAATGGAAATCATGGTCTAGCCAAGTTGACAGACATTTTGAGGGGACACAATTCATAATGTTCCACCCTTTGGCACCCCCCAAATTCATGTCCTGGCCACATGTACAACACCTTCACCTCATTATATCATAGCAAGTTTTAAATCAACTCCAAGTCCAAAATCTCATTTTCTGCAAAATTCCTTTTCATCTGTGAAATCTAGAGTACAAGTTATCTGCTTCCAAAGTACAGTGGTGGAACAGGCACAAGGTAGACATTTCCATTACAAATGGGAGAAACTGGAGGGAAAAAAGGGATAACAGGCACCAAGCAAGTCAGCAGAACACCTTACATTAGCCCTCCTGGCTTTGAAAATAGTCTTCTGTCCTCTGAGACAATTTAGACAATGGCTCTGCCCTCCAGACTCTAGGTATTGGTCACACTGTCCGGATTCTGAGTGGAGGTCCCTCGGCCCTGGACTTCAGCTTCGCCTTCCAGGCCCACTGGAATGGCAACCCTGCTCCTTCAGCATTGGACGGCTCCATTCTCCTAGACCATCTGAGTGCGACTCCACCTTTTAAGACTAAGGCGGCTCTGCTTCCTGTATTCCTTCTCTCTTCAGGCAGCATTGTAGGTCGTCATTTTCGTTCTTTTAAAGATGTCATTATGATGCTTTCTGACTTAAAATATTGAAAATAGAGCTTTCCTGGCTTTCTCACTCTTCTGTAAGAGCCTCCTGAAACTTCAAATACCATGAGAATTACAACTGTAGCCATTTGTGTAATTAACTGCTGTAAGCCAAAAGGATCATAAAGCTTCTCGTATTTTTTAGAGAGGTCTACATGGTTACTGCCCAGCCTATGTCCTAGGTTAAGCCCAAGGGTGCCAGGGAACTTTATCCCTCTACCAAAACCCACGAACCTTTTGACTTCACGTTGATTCCGACTTCTCTCTCTAGATATGTCAACAAATATGAAGTGCCAGAACTTAGAGACATCAGCAGATCATAAAAGCCAAGAGCCATGGGCTACATGACTCAGGGATAAATTTTATTTACATATCAAAAGGTTGAGCAAGGAGGAGACCCTTTCATGAGGGGAGAAAGACACCTGCGTCCCTCGCCTTTATAAGCAGAGAAAAAATCATTTTTTCTCATCCCTCACCTACAGAATGTCTGGCCACTTGTGTTGGAAAAATTCCTATCGGCTTTGTGTTGCCCCAGGGGTAAGGTGTGGGGCAAGGACAGGCTGAGGAGCTTATGTTTACCGTAAGGAATTAATACGGAATCTGTTTTGTTCCAGAACACATTGTGTGTGAATTTAGGATAAAATTAATAAAGATAAATATTAAAAAGTCAAAAAACACTTTTGTTGACTAATCAGTTTTAGTC